CTGTGCCACAGAGTACCTGGAGTACCACCCGACAAGAGCGGGAACGAACAGCACACCGATACACACCCGTCTGGATGAATCTGAGCTACACTTTGCTGCGTGAAAGAAGCCAGACACAAAAGGGAATGTACTGGATGAGCGCACCACATGAAATTCTGACTATCGAGAGAGAAGGCCGATCAGTGGCTGCCCGGGGCGCTGCGTGGAGACTGACGACGAAGGGATGGGACTTTGTGGGGTGATGACACGTCCTATATCTGGGTTGTGGTGGTGGTTACCTGGATATCTCCATTTGCCCAAACTCACCAAACTACCCTTAAAATGGGTGCATGTTATTGTGTGGAAATTATATCTCAAAAAGGTGGTAAGATAAGGTGATTTACTTGTTTAGAATAACGTCGCCACTAGCTAAGGCTAATACCCACTGTGGACCTTAGAGCAGGTCTAGACACGTTATTTTCGAGTCCAGAAATATGTGGCAATAATTGTACAGTCTAAGGAAGCAAACAATATAAAACCAAAGGGACAGAAAGTAGGTAGTTCTGGGTCCCGGGAGCCTGATCAGGGACACACACACCACATGGCACTGGTAGCAGAGCCCACACTGTGGACCAGGCAGCAGTTACGACTCCCCTGCCACAGCTGGTCCCCAAGCACAGATCAGCAGCCTCGGTCATGCAAGAAAACCTCCGCTGGGTTACCTGGGCAGCCGTGCTGGGGATACGGGTAGTTGTTCATTACCTCCACCCACGTCACCCACGCTTCTCACTCGCGAGCCGTCCTTTCCTTGGAGGCGGGCTTGATTCTGGTAACAGAGCACTGTTTTCAATCATGAAGCCACTCTTGAAGTGGAGTCTACACTGGTTAAAGTATGCGGAGGTTGTGTTGAATGTTAATCAGTTATCGATTCAGAAACACTGTGGGTGGCTTTCAGCTGCTTTACAAGGAAGGAACATCCCAGACCAATCTCCCATATGCATATTGATGCAAAAATCCTAAATAATGTATCGGCTCCTAGGAACTAGCAGGATATAAAAGGACAGTATGTCATGGGGAGGGAAGGAGGCAGGACAGGGAAGGTCCAATGAATGGCTCTCGACCCATGGGCAGTTCTGAAGACAAGACACCCTCAGCACAGCCCCACGCTGCGGGGCGAGGGCCCGGACTTTATACTTCCCTACGGACTATGTTGTTGGATATGGACACCCTGAAGGGGAGTGTACACTGGGGGAGGTGGTTCTCTTTAGCTGGGCGGTTGCAAAGGAACAGCAGAGGGCCTATGGCCAGGGACACTTCAGTAGCCGGGGCCACAGTCCTTTATTCTGGAAGGGGATTACCAGGCACAGAGCAGCAGCCATGCAAGGCCAAGGCTGCTGGGTCAGATGGTAACTCTATAATGAGCCACTTCTAAATTCAGGCAGTTTATTACTTATACAAGAAAGGAAGAGAGTGAGCCAAAGGTGGCAGCTCCTTGGGTCCTTCCTTCTCTCATGTACCAAAAGGGACAGGACGGCCGCAGCATGAGCTGTGGAAGCCACATCACCGAGGAGCAAGTCTTATCACCAGAACTTCATGCAGACTGCACAGAGCAGTTTTATGCCCTGCAGGTCGACCTGAGCTCATCAGAATGTCATCAGAACCCTCAGGGGAAGAGAAGCATGCGGGTGGGAGACGGCCTTGGAGAAGTGCCGCACAGGCCTCCCGCCTTGCCTTCTGGGAAAATCACAAGGCATTCTGCCAAGACAGAAGAGCTGTGGTTCCACTCCTGCCTGCATGTGCCACGGTGACTACAGCACCCATCACAATGACCAAGTGCAGTATGTTTCAGGACTCTAACGACAGTTTAACATTAGAAAATTAAGTGTAATTCACAACATTAACAAGAAAAAAGAAAAAGAAAAAAATTATGTCATCATCTCAATAGATGCAGAAAAGGCATGTAGCACAATTCAACACCCATTCATAATTTTTATAAATGCTCTCAGCAAACTGGGATAAGAACGAACTTCCTTAATCTAATAGAGAATATTGCAAACATTATCCTTTACTGGTAAAATATTTAAAGTGTTCCCCCCAGAGATTGAGAGTGAGGCAAGGATGCCTTTTATTACCATTTCTATTCAACACTGGACTAGAGATCATACCCAGTGCAATAAGGCAAGAGAAATAAATAAAAAGGCATAATATCTTACTTATCCAAAATTACTTACCTGGAAACTGCAACTATCTGAAACAAAGCTATTAACCTAACGTTCTCTTACAAATCAACCTAAAATAGAGCTGCCAGGATGCCACAAAGTCTATGCACTTCACTTACGGAGGAGGAGTCCCTAAGCCCTCACTCCAAGGAGGCACAGAATTCCAATAAGCTACTCTTTTCCAAGTCCAAACCACATTAGAAATGACAACAGAGATTGGCACAGTGATCGAAACCAGAGTGTTTTCTATCAGTCTGATAGGAAAGGACATGGGTGGATAAAAATAGCTCAAAAAACAGTGCTTCAAACCACTTATTATAGGGCCAAAGGCTCTCCACACCTCAGTAGCTCATAAGGCCACTGCAGTATAGGTCACTATTATAGGGTAATAGTGTAGTAGTGACTTGGAGTCCTCAGGAAAAGATAAAATCATGCTTATAACTCACCACTTAAGATGACAGGAAATTATGCCCACTATTAAGGATTTTTCTAATGGCTGATTTTAAAGTTTTGGTCATTTACATGGAGAAACCTTAGTATCAGAAAGTTTATTTTTAGGTAATACCTAATTTTGATCAACCTACCCAAAGTTTTTCATGGCTTAAGCAGTGCTTGTGCAGGGAGCATAAGTTCAGTGTCACAAACATTTGGATTGAGCACCTATGACAGGCCTGAGTCACTAAGACGAGGTCCTGTCTGGGTTCTCAGTCCAGGGATATTCGTTTTCAGAGCTATAACTATGTAAGGGCAGCTGTGGCCTGGCCATATGAGTACACGGGGCTGAAAAGGCTGAACGGGATTTGTGAGTTCTTGAGCTCATCCTTTGATTAGTAAATATGGCCAGCATGTGCAGAATGTCTACTGCATTTACTCTTCCGTCTACTCAGTTCATCGTGGTACCACATGCTTATCCTGGCCTGGAGGTGGCCAGAAGGTTCTTTGTGTCTCTGCACCTGGGGGCCTCTCTTGGCCATCGGAGCATGCTCAGCCCAGGCACAACGAGTGCCGGGAGTTAACATCCCAGGAGCAATGCTCCACCTGATAAATGAGGAGCTGGATCTCACCCTAGCCTCCTCACTCCTGAGTGGGACTGAGGGTGGCAGTCCAGTGGTCACCTGCTGTACTGGCTTCCTTCCCTTTCTGCCTCATGCCCCCATGCCCTCATAGTGCTTCCTGGAATCACCTCCCAAACAATAAACTACTTGAACCAAAATTCCTGTCTCAGGGCCTGGTTTTAGGGGAGCCCAGCTAAAAAAGATGATGCCAGAAGGGCCTAAGAAAGCAGTTCCTTGGGACGAGACACGGGTGCAGCCAGACGACAGCAGGACCTCACTGCTGATGGTAAGCATGACAGTGATAACGCACCTGGGATGGATTGGGATTAAGGAAGAGTGACAGGTTCTGATTAGCCAACTGTCACCCCAGGAGAAGCTGTGACAACTAGAATGCCACATGGCAGCATTTAAAGAGACCCATACCACTTCCATGTAGAGGACGGAAGATGCTGAGAATCAGGCCCAGATCAGATCAGGGTGGTGCAGTTACAAAGGGGACAACCTTCACACCTGTAGATAGTCTCCTCTGCTTACGTGAGGGCTCTGATTAGGAAGGAATAGGACTCTGAGACATGAGTGAGCCCATTTGGGCAGATGCCCTCAAGAACCTTGACACCCCCAATTCCCCTGAACCCTTGGGTCTAGCAAGTGGCTCATGCCCCCGTGCTAGAGAAGGACAGCTTCCGAAACCTGGCAATCATTCAAAGGCCTCTCTTGAGAAAAGACTGGAAAGATAACCTCTGTTCTCCCCAAGATCTGCCCCCACTTCCATTCATTACTCCTAAACCAATTCACAGGGAGCACATCAGCGTGGCCCATGTTGGGAAACAGTGCCCTGCTTGGAGAGGAAAGGAGTTAGCCCCCTGAAGAGCTGAAGGAACTGGCGAATATGGACAGGCAGGAATTGGAAAAGGAGGTGTGGATATGGGTATTGAGGATGGTGGCCCAGTGGGAGCTACAACAGAAGCTGACAGTCTACTGATATGGGGGTTCTCTTCTGCATTAGGATTTGGCACTGTGGCAAGGACACATGAAGCCAGTCCCAACTGCAGCGGCTCCTTGGAGCTCAAAGATGATGGCATACCACAAATGCGGTGGAGATCCGATGACTGCCTTGCAGAGTACTGAGGAGGTGTCAGAGGCTCAGAGGGATGGCATGCTAGAACGGTCAGAAGACAGGAGAGCCCACCCATGGGCAGCGGGTACTCCTTCACTGAAGCAGTAGGGATGCAACATCAGCACTATGAGCTCAGTGGTGGCTGTCCCACTGTCCAGAGCTGACAATAGGAGATGCCTGCACATAACTGTGTTCCCTAGGGTCAGTGACAGGATTCCAGAGCAAGAGTCTAATGGCAGCACTTAGCCATTAGAGAGAAACATGAAAACAATAACCCAATGGGATACGAGGTCAGACTAGCAACTAGGGGACACGGGTCTGGCTAACAGATCATGGTGTTCCTAGAGATGAGCTGAATGGACAACCTGTGGCACATTCATTCTGAGCTGAGACTTCTCAGCTGTGGAGTACAGGATGGCCCTCCATTGGTTTCCTCATGGTAAGTTGTGCTGCAAAAAACATCTGAAGCTCCATTGACAAAGCATTTAGATGGACCAAAGAAGTTAAATTCTCACGTTCACTGTTAATTTTCCTTAGAACTGGTGAAAATGTTGCCTATAATGGATGGCATTTGCATTTCCAGTGAATTCATGCATTTTTTTGATGGTCAAATAGAGAAAATGAATTGGGTTTCATTTTAAAAATAAGGTTTATTTGTAATGACTACCTTCAGGAACTCTAGTTGCATGCACCCTGGGAATGCACCAGTACAGACACTGCTATGTAACATTCATTAAAAAGGTGCGCTCTTCAGACCAGCGCAGAGGATGAGCCTCTGCTCCCGCACTAAACTCTCTCCTCTACTGCAAGGAAGTCCCAGTTTTTTGTTTTCTCTTTTTTCAGTTAGGCAACTGACAACATGAACTCTAGTTTTAAATAGTAGAAGCAAAGTCTAAATATTAGAAAAATAAACAGAGAGAGTACAACAAATGTCTTCAGAATACATGCCTGAGGCGAGACCGCTTGATGTCTGTTTGGCAGCTTCAGATGAAATTTTCTTCAGTGTTTAATCTTCGGGTTCATATCTGGAAAGAGATATAAATGAAATTAAGGGCATAATCTCAGGACACCTTTTGTTGCTGTCAGTGTTAAGTGAGCTGACCTGAAACATCTCTAGGGACTAACCCAGTAATACTACCTCTCTCACGCTACATCACGGCTGCGGTGGGAGCTGGATACACGCAGACTGACGGTGACCTCGAGGGGCTTCCCAAAGCAGGGAGAACGGACCGCTTAACTGCTAAGGTCCCTTCGGACTCGAGTCTCTATGTGCAGCATTCAGCCCACGATAGGAGTGTCTAAATGGTCAGGTCAGCACCGCTAGCTAGTACGGCTATGTGAGTAAAGGGTTAACAAGCCCCTTCTCAAAGGACAGATCTGATCTGGGATTCACTTCCTAGCTCTGTTCCCCTGGGACCCTGATCATGATAAAATGTCAGCTGAGTTTCCAGACGAAACCGCTGATGACGAAAGTGGCCCTGATGAGTAGACTCCACCTGGACCAGGAGGACAGTGAGCAGACTCTAAGTACGTGGTGGGGGCCACGACCTGAGACTTCCCTCTGTGCGGGGACCTCCTGTACCTGCACTTGTCCCTGCCTGGGTCCCTGCCACGTGGTTCCATGTGAGCACAGACCTCTCAGCCACACTAGCTCTGGCATCCATCTGCACGGATCTCACTCCTTGCACCTAAACTGTCACCTGAGGGCACAGTACGACCAGGTCTTGGATGCTACAAGGACACCGTGGAGGAGAAATGCCCCATGCTGCCCTGCAAGCTGGTGGTGTTTCCCGCCCGATATCCTGCTACCTGAACCCACTGCCAAGAGGAGCCTATAGCAGTTGCAAGTGAGTCCACGGGTCTCACTGAACCTAAAAGCCCGGGTGGGCATCACAGACGAGGCGAGGCCAAAGCTCCTCCACTGTCCTCAAATGCAGCAACTACCCACAGCTGGACCTCTCTGGACACAGCTCGGGTTTAATGAAGAGCAGACCTCAACCAGCGGGAGAGCCCAGGGCCACGCAGGCCAGGGCCACGACGTACTTTGCCAGCCTTTTCCTCAGGTCTTTGATCTGGTCATTCTTCTTGGTTAGAATCTCTTTCATGTTGCGATAGGCTGCTGTTTGTTGGAATTTCTTCTCTAATTCCTGTGCAGTGAAAAAATGCGAGCTCACTACTGAGAAAGTTACAGGAGGGACAGAGCTGATGAAAATCACCAATATTCTGCTTACAGGATTCTCTAATTTCTTTAAAAAACATACATAAAATTAAGAGTATCAAAACTTTAAAAATACATTCTTTCTAAAGAGAAGCCAGTAAAATAGTGAAGTTTCTCCAAATATAATGTTAGCAAATAGCTCAAACATACTGTGCCCTGGACATGGGACTCTATTTGAAACAGTAAGTGAATTTCAGGTAAAATAAACACCATCTCTTAAGTTTTTGCTCTGAAATTCTTAAGTGTTCTAATCCCTAAAGTGAAGCACTCAGTCCACTACATATTTCATATACATTAAGAAAAAGGTATAGAATCTTTTTAAAAAAGGTTGCCCATCCCTCTGCCAGGCTGGGAGGGATGGGCAGGAAGGGCAAGCCACCATGTGAGAATATTCCACCACACGACAGGAGTGGAGATCTTTATTACTGCACATAGTTTAGGGCTAAAGGTGGAAGAATCTCAGAGCCCAGAAAGGATAAACTGTCAGAACACATACTGGTTAACACCTTGAGAAAAACGTGAATCTGCAGCTGTCAGTGCTCCCCCAGTACACTTTTCCTCTACACTGCGCGCCCCACTTAACTGGACATCTGCAGACAAATCTGACCTTCTCAGCCATGCTCAGCTGCTCCTGAACCCTGAGTAGGTCGTGCTTGGCTGTTGCTAGACTCTCCTCCAGGGACTTCTGGTTTTCTGTCTTGTCATTAAGTGTCTTCTGAAACTCACTCTTTAAAGCGGCAACTGTGTTTTCCAAGTCGCTCAAGTCTTGGGCCTTTATACAATCCTATGAAAAATATATGCATGACCATAAGTTCACATTGACATCCTAAATGGTCTCTGCTAGACGGTGATTCACCATCACAGGAGACGAAGGCACATGATGCTGTGTTCAGGTGCACACCAGCCTCCCTCCCCAGCCTGCGCTCTGGCTCCTGGCGCTGCCAGCTCCCCTGCTCACCCTCAGCCCTCAGTGCGCAGTGTCCTGCACATGGCAGAGCGTAGGCTCACTGACTTTCCAACACGCAAAATATGATTATGAACTGCTGGGATTCCCAAGGGAACCAGGACAGAGGTGAGATCCTAAATTTGACAAGATTATACATCTCAGTGCTGGGATGGCAAATAGGTTTTAAGTCCAGTTTAAAAAAGTCCTGGTGAAGTAGTTTACATGATACACATGGAAGAATAATAAAATTAATACATTTATATCAAAAATTTAACAGGCAGCCTGGCCGGTGTGGTTCATGGTTGAGCACAGTCCCATGTACAGGAGATCGAGGTTCGATTCCTGGTCAGGGCACATGCCCGGGTTTCAGGCTCAATCCCCAGTAGGGGGCGTGCAGGAGGCAGCTGACAGAAGTTTCTCTCACTCCCTCTTCCTTTCTCTTTCTGATATCAATAAAAACATATTTTAAAAAAAGTAACAGACATGTTTTAGTCATTATTTACAATAAAATATTATGAGAGCATAATTAACACTTACTGATTTTATCGTCTGCTAAATGTACCGGATTTAAGTTTTTATATTAATGCATATGCACATGTTTGCACACTTTGTCAGCATAATACAAGCAGCTGGACCCTCTACCTGGATCTTGCTTTTGACTGGATGAAAAGTATAATAGAAAGAAAAGTTGCATTAATAGGACAGGGAAACGGTCTGTAGCTGCTAAGTATGAAGATGAAGCAGCACTGTCAACAAAAGAAAAAGTCTTCACTTGTTTTTGAAATCCAGTCCTTAAAAAGATTTTATTTCGTTCCAACTAGTGAAGACATATATGCATTTTGCTTTTGCCAAAATCTTAAAAGTAAAATGGGAGCAAAGTGTAAAATGGCTTTTAAATTCATCATCTAAAATTGTGTGCAACTGTTTTTCTTTTGGGAAATTATCAAGTTGTTCTAGAGTATTTAGCTCTGTTTCATAAATCTGTGGTCCTTGGTATATAATGACTGAAAATCATATGTGTTTTCCTTTGTGTTTTTTTAGCCATACAAGAAGTAGCCTCCTATTTAAAGATATTTACAAACAAAATGATGCAAGTCTGAGATTCGCTTCAAAAAAGCAGGAGTGGGGGAAGAAAGTGGAGGTAAATGTGAAAGCAGCCCGGCCGGCCCGATGACTGGTAGTGAGTGAGGCGTACCTGGGGGCCTTATATGCTTCTCTACGTATTAGAAATTCTCCATAGGAAACGTGTAGCAGGAGCCCAGTGAAGCGAACATTCATGACAGTACCACCAATGGAAAAGCCAGTGCTGCGCTGAAAAGTCACTCAGATGGTCCCATGACACGAGACCCTGTGCATCAGCCTCCAGGGGAAGGCCAGGAGCAGAGCTGCGTACACGCCGACTCCCAGCGGGCAGAGCACCGCGGGCATCACCCCCAGACAGGCCTGGTTCACGGTACACGCAGGCACTGCTACACACAGATGGACTTGCAGGTTCCTAACAGGTACATTTGTCCTATATTACCACACCCACTGAAGCAAACTAGGTCATAGGCTTTATATAATAAAACCCCATACAAACACAATTAATTAAAAACTCTTCATTTTCTTTTTTCTCTCTGCAACTGGAATGTCAAAGTGAAAGGCGGAAAACTTTTAAAAAATATATTTAAGAATCTCTTATATGCCAATGAGTCCTCTGGACTTGGGAGCTGTGTATCTGTTCCCAGCCCTGGAGGACAGACAGAGGGATGGGCGCTGGTTCCCACTGGCCTTTCCCGGACAAGATGTCCCTGGCAGCGCAACAGCGCCAGGAGCGGAGGGTGGCAATGCAGAGGGGCCGGCGTAAGGAACAGTAACTGGGACTTAGTACTGAGTTTACGACTGTTCGGCAATAGCGAGCGCGCTGCCCCGGTTTCACCTTCTGGTTTCCTTGCTCCAGCTGCAAATCGCGCAGCGCCCTTTCCAGCTTGGACTTCTCGTCCAGTGCGTGCGTGGCCTGTAAGCAAGAAGAGAGAGACGGGCTCAGGGCTCAGGGTTAGGGCTCGGGGCTCAGGGTTAGGGCTCGGGGCTCAGGGTTAGGGGTTAGGGCTCAGGGTTAGGGCTCAGGGCTCAGGATTCAGGTTTAGGGCTCAGGGCTGGTCTGGAAGTTACTCTTCTCGTGAGTCTGTTAGTGTTTCTCAGTTACCTGCGTCTCAGTGGTCTTCAGCCTTGACTTCAATCTCTCATTCTCCTCTTGAAGTCTGAAAATCTCCTTTGTGAGTAAATTCAAATTTTATTATTTTAGCCAAAGTATTTTTAATACTTGACATTATTTGTTTCATTTAAAAACGTCATTTTTAAGTTAAATTTAAATGACCTAACAGACCAGAACCCTGCATGCCCTGGTTTCTGGTCACACCCCCGTTTACCCAGCCGCCAGCCTTGGCACCGGCGTCCCCGCGGCTCCATATGCCCAGCTCCTCGCGCAGCCTCGGACCCTCTTCAGCCGCTGCTCTTGGCCTCCTTCCCGGCACCTCCCCTGCGGTCTCACCCCGCTGACCCTGCAGCTCTTGGGTCTCTTCTCGGCCTACACTGGGCTCCACGGCCATGATCCGAAAGCGGGCTCATCCCGGCGCCCTGTGCCCGAGCCCCTAAGTGGTTCTGACTGAGCTGAAGCCAAACACCGGCTCACAAGCGGCTGTCACTAGAGTCCGGTCTCACTTCTTGCTACGCTTCAGCACACGCATGGCCCAGCCGGAGCGCTGCACTGTCCCCTCAGGCCGCCTTCTCCCCGCCTCCGCCTGCCGCCCGCCGCCCATTCCCCCCGCCTGTCACGCCCCTTCCCTTCCCTTCCCTCTGACAACTTAACCTGTCTTGACTCCTCCGCCCAGCCTGGGCACCGCCTTACCCAAAAGTCTGTCCTCAGCTGCTGTCACACACAGAACTGTGGCACCTGCGGCCACACACGAGTGCTTCCCTATCTCTGTGTCCAGAACATCAGGTCTCCCTTCCCAAGGAGACTGAAGTTTTTGAGGGCAAAAGGCCAGGTGTTATACTGGTTTTTATCTAACAAGATCTAGCATAATGTTGACAGTATAGGAGTCATGAAAGATCTTTATTTGTATATTGGTAATTAATTTGTAAAACCTCTTAATAAAATTCCCTTTACTGTTATCACAGATTATAAACTCCAAATGCCCATGAATAAATGATGCCCAAAACTCCACGCCCTTCACTGCAAAAAGATGCATCAGGAGCTGCTCAATGGGATGTAAAGGACAGCACAGGGAGTGCAGTCAGCAATGCTGCAATAACTACGCCTGGCGCCGCTGGGTGCCGGAATTATCGGGGGATTGCTCTGTAAACTATATAAATGTCTAACCCCTACGCTGTACACCGGAAACTAATATAATACTTAACGTCAACTGCCATTGAAACACGTTGTTTTAGAAAAAAACGCTGTTTCAGACTTTCTGGGAGGTAGATATGCCCTCTTCTGGGCCGCCGGTACCGTAAAGTAAAAAACAAGGAACTAATCACCTTCCGAGGACCAAAGCCTGAGCCAACCTCCTCCCCCTCAGGGTCTCCACTCTATAGAGTTGTGCAGGCAACAGGGGGACAGAACAGAGGGTCTGCGTTTCCCAGAATGATGGTGACATTACCTTGTTCAGGAGCTCTGCTGTCCCACCTTCGTTAAGGGGAGTAAGTTTTGGCTTTATGATGTCTATGATGGGCTGAAAGGAAGTGCAGAAAACAAACTAAAACCAGCACAGAATAAATCACGTACAAGTAGAGCACTGTGTAAACATGTCCACTGGGAAGTCAGATCCCCGGGGGACGGATTCTCATTGGTTTGGTTCCCTGCTATGTCCCAGAGCCCAATACAAATGAGACAAAAATGAAACCCAGCATCCCCATATCTTTGGAAGGAAAGAAGGGAAGAGAGGAAGGAGGGAAGGTGCTCCAAGCCAGAGCAGGTATAAATCCTAGCATCTCAGGACTGAGATTTAAGATGAGCAAAAATTATCTTTTCATTTAACCTGTGGGAGTGGAAACATTTCCTGCATGAAATGTGACTCTGGGAAAACTGAAATATTGATGATCTTTAGGCAACTACGCTGCAGGTGAAGACTAACTTGGCACAAATATTCTGGCAGTTTAGTAATGTGTGCAAACAACAAAAGAACCCATTCCCTCTGACCCAGAAATGTCTTAGCCAGAAATAGTTCCAAAGAAATAACTGAAAACTATTTTGTATGCTCATGGGTTCCTCTCGGCAGCATTTGGGGGGTTTTATGGGGTAATGCTAAGTGGTCACTGCAAATGACGAGAGGATTAAAAAGAGAAGTAGCTACTGTTAGTATGGTCTCCACAGGACATGTGAGGGAAAGGAGGCTGGCTCAGCAGCCTCAGGTAAGCTGCTCAAGGTCACGCCGCTCGGGAGTGACAGAGCCAGGACGCACACCCAGGTGTGGCGGACCCCAACGCCTGTGCTCTGCATTGGAGTGGAGCGTTTATATGGTTGGAGTCAGGTGACAGCAGGGGGTGCGTGCGTGCGTGTGCAATAGTGGACAAAAACAAGTTTTTCATAGTTAATTACAAAGCTTTTCTTCTTTTGCCTGAAAATCTGAGAGGCAGTTTTTCAATTCTGCTCTTAAATCAAATGCTTCTCACTTTAACCTCTGGACGCTCTGAGTAACTTGGGGATTTTAAACATTGGCTATTAAGACAACAAACTTAAAATGACTAAAAATTACCTTCTTAGTGGAAGATGTAAATTCTGCTTTTTCAAATTCTGCAACTTGTTCTAATAATTCTCTTGAAGACAAAAGCAAACATAAAAACATTTAAATACATTTTAAATACAATCACTAGTACCAATCCATTACCTGCCAGAGAACAGAGCAGGTGAGCACTACACCGCGTCAAAGGTGGTACTGAGTCACTAATGCTCAAGAATCCCAACCCGTGGCCTCAGCTCCAAGTTTCCCGACACCGAGCATTTTCCCCCCAGAGTGGACAGTATGACCCCTGGAACTACAATGTTAAAACAAATACGTATGAAATTTGTCTTAACTGTATTTCTGAGGTGCCATAGGGGGACTGCTCTGTCATATAATGTATCTCCATAGCTAGTAGATGTTCAAGACAAACTGATTTTAATAGAGCAGCCTTGCAAAAGTGGAACTGCAGTAGTGCATGGCACTTACAAAGTCATACAATCTCCAGAAAGACGGCAGGTTGGGGAGCCGCCTGGTTAGCTCCCCGTATTTGTAAAGGAGAGTGAGAGCCGGCTGTGCAAGAGGCTACAGTGGGGCCGGCAGCCACTGCGCTTCCAGCTCCTTCACAGGCCAGTCTCTCACTGCCTCCCCAGTACCCTGACAGTGTTGTGAAGCGAAATGGTTTTCTTCCCTACGGGGGGCCCTACCCCATGCTGGCCAACACTCCCCATGTGGGCCCACATGCTGCCACTGTGCTTAGATACCAGCTCCCAGGGTTAGAGGTCAGCTCTCCTGATTGATGGCATGACTTTCCTTAGAATGTCTCAATTTTGCCGATTTTAGCATATTTGTTTAAATTAATGAGCTTTTTTATATTGTTTGGATTATAAATTTTTTTTTACATTTCCCATTTTGAAAATAAGTGTATAATTTAAAATGTAATTATTTAGAAGTAAACTTCCAATATTACTAGTCTGAAGTGATGGTATTTGAATTAATTCCTCAAATGTTTCATAATCTTTATTTCCTAGTCGGCCTATCTCTAAAGAATTATTGTTATATCACTCAGGCTAACAAAGATACTGTAGGGGACGATTAGTAACAGTCTGAAAGGCAATTCATACATCTCAAATGTCCCATCACATCCAGAAACAGGAGGAGCAGAGAACCTCGAGTGGCACCTAAGAGGTCACTCAGGACCCAATGCTTTGCTGCTGCCCAGCCCAAGCTTTCTCACACACCGGCCCCAAGAACAGCAGCAGCAGAGACGCGCTCACGTGCTGAGGCTGCTGTTGTCCTAATTGTAGGTACAAATGTTATTACCTGTTTTCTAGCTCAGAGATATCTGTCTGCAGCTTGAGGTACCACTTCTCCGCCTGCGAGAAGAGCTGCCGCAGAAGCAGCACGTTGGTGTAGGCCGTGTTGATGAGCTCCGACTCCACCTCGCTGTGCACCACGGCCTGCAGCCCGCTCAGAACCTCGGACACCTCGTCTATGGTGAACGTCTCATCCACCAGCCTGAAAAGCGACCACCCAAACTTCCACGTGAACAAGAACAACTTACCAAGTAAAACTAAGAAACCCACACCGACATCGAGGGGGACGGGTTACTGTGACACTCTCTCTGGGAGCCAGCTCCCTTGTGAATCAAGCAGAGTGAAAACCACGAAGCTGCACATATTTCGGTGGCGATTTAAACGAGTAAACCGTGGTTCATCCTTATTTAATTTTTCAGTTTAAAGCCTTTTTATTCTCTACTGAAATCAGTCTTAGCACAGTTAGTAATTTCAAAAGTCACCTGGAAGATGTAATTTCTTTCTTTCTAGCATTTGTGTAGCATTTCAATGCTTGTATGAACTATTCACACAGCAGTAAATGCCCACGAGAAAATTGGTGGTAACTGTACATCCCTTCTCCTAGCATTCTTGGGACTTGAAGAAAAACAAACTAACAAACAAACCTGACTTCTCTTAAAGCTCCATGGACCACTGGCCACCCCATAAAAGTGAACATCATCATCATCAAGAGCATTAAAAATCCATCTCCCACAGAGTGCTTGGGCTGGGGAAACTTCGGGGCTGCCTTCTTCAATCCCTCACTTTGCAGGCAGGAACATGGGCTCAGGAGGTGGAGGTGACAGGCTCATGGTCCCACTGAGGTTGACAACCCCACAATCATATCTGCTCACTCAAGAACATGCCCAACAGCTGAATCCTGGAGAAAGCTTCCAATGAGTTTCACAGTAACACAGTCCTCTGCTCTCCCTGCCTCCACCTTCAAAGTCCCCATCCCTCAGATGCTCAAAGATGAAGAGCACCCCCCCCCCAGGGCTATCCTCCTCACTTCCAAAAGGACCTAAAGAAGGGAGTGGCATGGAAGTCTTATCACAGTTATACTCAAGTCAATATTATTGGACTTAGCATTCTTTAATGTTTCATCTAGCCAGCAGAATTTAGACATGCTAGAAAAAAACAAAACTTGGACTACTTTTGATGGAAGTCCTTACTAAATATATTAACAATCTTTCTATGTTCTTTAATAGGACATAGCAAATCTGCTTTCACAAATCTGCTCTTTTTTGGCAACCCGAGTTATTATCAGGAACAGCAGTTGAGGTGCACGAAGTGGGTAGTAAAGTGCCTCCCTCCACTGGCTGTCCCACAGCCTCTCCAATTAAATTGCTGCTCATTTTTGCTGGGGGCTAGGAAACCAGATTTCCAGGTTAGATTAATGAAGGGAACAGATAATAGTATACAGTGGAAGGCCTCTGCTACCCAGTGAAATTCATGGCTTATGACAGCTGCAGCTCACTCGGAGGCCTTTTTCATTCACGTCTCACCTGACACTGAGGTGTGCCACAGCCTCGTCCCAAAGTAATCTGATGTCTCTTTTATTATTCAGCCTTTTTCTTTGGTCTCCCTACTATTCTCCGGATCAAACACACATTTTCTATGATCTTTAATTATCTTCCATTATTGGCCCAGCCAAACTAATTATCCTCTCTTGCTACAAAGTCAACTAACAATTTGGTACCAGTCAGCAAGCTTTTTAAGATTTCCTGCTGTTTTCCCTAACTCTTCAATATGAACTGCATAGATGTTTTCTTGCTGTTATATTTTATGACTCTAATCTCTTAATTAATAACTCAAGTAATTAAAATTCTGGAATCTTTAATACAAGCCAATCACCGACCCACAAGCCCTCCACAATTTCCTGATGGCTTCTGAAATGCGGCAACCCCTTATCATATGTGCATGTTTGAGAACAGACTGCCCCCACCACAGTTTGAGTTTCACGTATCCACACGGCTATGTAGCCGCTCTCAGTGAATAACTGATCATGATAATCCTGGCAATGGATTGTATGGCCTCCTTTACAGCCTCCTCACACTGGCTACCAGAAGGATCCATGTTCCCACTGACTTTCCTTAGAATCCTCCGATACCTGCTCTCCTTAAGGTCTTGGAAGCAGGAGTCTACAGTTTTGAGTCTCAAGCCTCTTTTTGAACGAGCAAAACGCATATAATTAATAACTTCATTTTGATGGTGCTCATTTAGGCCCAACTCTGCCTGAAAGAGAGAGAAGTAATTTAATCATTAGTCTTGAAACTGCAATAAAAGAACCAATAATGAGGGCGCAGGATATCCTGTGGTTGAGACTGACAGATGGCCACTAAATTCTGCTCTTCCCTTCCTCCCAGGTACATGGCTGCCCAACCAGGGGACACTTCCCAGCCCTCCCCGCAGTCAGCTGTGGCCACGTGACTACTACTCAGCAATGGGTGTCAGCAGAAGAGATGAGGGCTACTTCCAAAGCCTGGGCCTTAAGACACGGGGGTGGGCTTTGCCACACCCCATTTCTCTGAGGCTTGGAGGAGGTGGTGACCAGGCTGAACCATGAAGACAGCAACCATGCCCTAGGGGTTGGGGGAGCAGCAAGATGAAAGGGATCTGTATCCCTAAATGACATCATGGAACAGCATTGACCCACTCACCTGAGATGAGCAGAGAGACTGCAGTTAAGCAAGAGACTAGTTTAAACCTCCGTATTCTTTAAGCCATTGTTTTTTGAATTTCTCCTACACCAATTCAATTTCACCCCCTAATGCAGCTTTAAAAAATAGATTTGGTTTTGACATAGACATTAATTGGTCTTGATTTTAAACCAGATGACAGCTTGACAACTATGAGCTAAAGATGCATGAAATTCTTTTTCATTTTATAGCGACGCTGTTTTAGCACACAGGAAAACGGGGCCTCTCTTCAACAGGTCAAAACAAAACAAATGTCACCCAAGTTCCCTCAGCTGTAAAATGGGGGTCTTGGACTCTTAAGGTCATTTTCACATCAGAGAGCTGGATCCAACCACGTTCTCCCTCCTCGGCTCCTTAACATAATTGTTTATGCTGCCAAAGGGGGTGTGTGTGGTGTGTGTGTGTGTGTGTGTGTAAAAACTTGGAGTTTTTGGAAACGAATGAGATTCCCGCCCTTCGCCGGTCCCGCCAGCTCTTTCCACTCCCCGCCTGCGAGGTGCGACCTGGCCCGGGCACCCCAGCCAGGGGCAGGACTAACGGACGCGGTGAAGCGAGGCTGCTAAGGGAGGGCTTCGCCCAGGCCTATCCCGGAGGGGATTCGGCCGAGGCCCCCGCACCCGGCGCGGCCTCCCCTCCTCAAGGAGGCCCGGGAGCGGGCTCAGACCGGGGCAGGCCACGCCATCACCGCGGGGCCCCGCTCCGCGTCTGCAGCCCCGGCTACTGCTCACGCCCCGGCGCGGAGCGGCGCCAGCGGGCCGGATACTCACCATGGCGGCGGGCGGGAGTCAGCGGCCTCGAGCGCCGGGAGAGGTCGGGCGCAGCCTCGCCACGCCCGGGACCACCGAGGGTGGTTGGGCCGCAGCGGATGTGGAGGGCGGGCGGGTTGTTTAGAAGCCTCCGGTTGCTAATGGAAACGGAGGCACGTGACCCTGGAGTTATGCACGTTTATTGGTCCTTAAGATCACGCGACAGGAAGTGCCCTGCGACCGGCTGGCCTCCGCGTGCGCATTGGCTTTCAGAACCAGGAAGTCCCGCCTCTTCGCGCCACGCTGTCCTGGCCGCCGGCCGCTGTTGCCAATGGTAACAGGAGGGGAGCGGCTGCCGGGGCGACTCCAGGCTCTATGGCGCCTCGGAGCCTGGGGTCGGACTGCGGCGCGGGGCTCGGCCCTCCCGCCTCGCAGCCCGGCCGCCCCGAGGGGCTCGTCCTCGACGGCTGACTCCCGGCCCCTCGACGGTCTCCTGGGGCGTCGGGCGCGCCCCCCAGACTTTCTCTTCCCACCAGCAGTTCCCGCTTGGCCGGCGGCACCGGCGGTGCCAAGTGCCCGCCTCGAGCTTTGAACGACCCTCTCGCCGCCCGCGCCCGTTTTTTTCTTTTATATTCTTGTTTGTTCTTTTAATCTGTAACAAAAGGGTTTTTTTAAGGGTTTTTCCCTTAAAAAAAAAAATCATCGCTAACGAAGTGGTTGAAAGAGTACTGAATTTCAAACTGATGCCAAAAGTCAGCAGGGAGGCTTGGAAACGCTC